CCAAGTCTTGTTCAAAGTTAACATATCTCCATTGTTTTGGTTGATGTTCGTTGTGTTGTGGGGGTGTACCTACTTCCCAACTGGCGCCTTTGACTGAGGCACATAGGTCTTGGGTCGACCTTCTTTGTAGCCAGTGGCCACATTATATGTTCTATAAGGGAAACCTCTTTTGTTGAAAGCATAAGTTGGGCTCAAAATGTCTTCCTTTAGAAGGTTAGGGCTTAGTCTTTTCAAGGCCTTCAGTAGCTTTTATATCAAACATAGCGTCGCGCCTGGGGCACAACATCACTTCTGAGTGTTTCAATTTGCCTTTATAGGAAATCAACAAGTTATTCCTCAGCAGTGAGATAAACAACCTTGACCTTCTCAACATAGTTCGACTCAAAAACTTCCATTTCCACTCAGGGCTCTCACTAGCGTCAACCATTAGACATTTGAGTGGTTCAATATAGTTTTCATCTTTGATTTAGAAAGGGTCAGAATCCACTTGCATTGGAGCTTTAGTCTCTAAAAAGGACACAATGAGAGGTCTTATGACCCAGAAAGTTATAAAACTTACAAAACCTTATTTTCTTTCGTTGCTCTAAAGGTGGAATTTTTAGTCCTTTAGGGACTATGATTTGTACATGAGTAACTAGGAGGTCAAAAATCTCGTCACACTTAGTTACGTCGAAGGTGTATGTTTTAGCTACAAGTTTGTCATATTCATTCGACCAGATTCTTCCCGTCAAACGGTTTCAACAATTTACAAACATTGAGAGGATTTGGCTTAAGTTTCACCATGTTTACATGATTCTCTTTGACCCCGTCATATCCTACATCATATTCCTGGTCTCTCTCGTTTACCTCTATATATGCAACCTTCTTTTTTATGGAATTTACTCATTCTAGCCTTCTCGACCTTCAGGCGTTCGACCTGACAAACCCTATCAGGCAACTGAGCCATATCTCTCAAATATTGGGTATCTAGTTTCTTTCTAATAGAATAGTCTAGACCCCCAATGACAATTTAGACCAATTCATGTCCAGGCACTTGGGTAAAACACCTTGTCTTTAACAACCTGAACCTATTTAGGTAATCATCTATTGACTCAGGCGCCTTGTGCCTTACACTAGCCAATTCTTTGAGACTAATCTTCAATTGTCCCATATAAAATTACTCATGGAACACTCTCTCCAATTGGTTCCAATTATGTATATAATTAGGAGGAAGTATCGCGAACCATGTAAAGGCATTTTTTGTTAGAGAGTTTAGAAAAAGTATCATTTTCAAATTCTCATTATTTGCTATATCGCCTGCTTCAGTTTCCTATTGAGCGATATGTTCGAAGTTCGACTCACTTGTGTCTCCTGCAAACTTGGTGAACTATGGACTTTCCATCCCCTAGGAAGCTCTGCTTGCAAGACATATTAAGACAAAGGTGACACAAAATTTGGCCTATGTAATCCTACATTAAAGCCATTATGGGCGAGGATGTTTTTGACTACGTGGACTAGATTATTTTCCCCATTAAGTTATCTTGTCAAACATTCTTAACTACCTTCTAAGCATCTTGGTTCCTACCCAGCATTACTATCCCTAGGTTCATTTGACCTATACGCTATTCTCCTCCCCCAAGTATAGTGAGTTTGACAGGTTGAGGCTCCACTTGTTGTTGTTTCCTTTGATTAATAGGAGAAACCATATTGTCATGTATCCCTATAGGTCTGGCAGGCACAATTTTGGGAATTGGTTATGCTTTTTCCTGAGGGGCACCAAAAAATGGCTATTCGATCCATTTGAATGGCCAATAAGTGGTAACTTTGGTTAGTGTTTTTAATTAGGGGATTGAACATTGTTCCAATTTGCTAAGTAAGCATATTAACCATCTCATGGTTACTTTCATCCATTTGTTATCTTATAGACAACATGGAACTTGTGGTTAAATCATATGTGTTTGGAAGAGCAAAAATAATCCCTCCATGTTGTGTTGCTCGACCAGGGTTGCTAATGGCAGACCCCGACGCCACATATAAATTTAAAGGGGGCGTTATTGTTGCATTATTATCTGCATACGTCGAGGCATTACTCAGTAATCCCGCCATCATCGCAATTGGCATACCATAAGGGAAATCCCTCGAAACCAGTGGCATCATAAGAAGGCCTAGGATCTCATATAAGAGCATGCGTGGGACTAGGAGTAGTTGGAATACTTGTTGCCACAGGAAATGAAACCACTACCCCTGGCATTGATGTTGCACTCTTTACTTTGGTGAGTATAGGTTCATTGGTCCCTATGAGATTTGTGTTCTTTGTGGTTCCAACTATTGATGCAACAAGTTGTTCAGTATCTAGAGCGTTATTCTAAGGAAGTGATGTGTTCTTAGGATGAACCATTTGACTAAATTTTTACCATTCCTCAAGCGCATAAAATTCCAGATGCAAGCAACATTATTAGATGCAAGGGGAATTCAAAATAAAGAAACAAAATGCAAACACTTTTTTTAAGGAATGATTAAAAAAATTTGCACAAACATGTCCCACTAGGCGTGCCAATTTATTTATTGGTGTTTTTGGTAAACAATCAATTAGTTTTAAATTTATTGCTTGAAGGACCAAACTAGTAAACCGTGTGGCAAGTTTGTGCTAAATTTTTGGAAACATAAGTGTGCATTAATGTAGTCGGAACACTTGCATTGAATGTTAACTATTTTGAAAAAATGATTAAGTTTGAAAGTAAACGTGACAAGTAATTTTAACTGGATCGAAATTAGTGAGTTGAAATAGGAAAAAAACAAGTAAAAGTAAATTAAATGGAAAAGAACTTTATTTGCATAAGAAAATAGTAGGCAGGTACATTTCTTTAGAGACTTGTTGTTTCTCTCTTGCGTATGGGCACTTTGAGTTTGCATTGGAGTTTACAATGATTTTGTCACCCTTGAATCCTAATTCTAAAATCCCTATTTATAATACTACAAAACTAATGGTCTTTAACATTTAACTGTTTTCTATCCGACATGTCGCTTATGCATGCTCTACTTGTCTTCGATTGATCTCCATGTGTCCCTAGCGTTTTGGATAAGACCAATAGACGGTTATCTGGTTTAAAATTTGAATTTGCTTTAGTCGAACATCTTTCGACTTGTCGAATTGATGAGTGACCAAATCCTTTTAAAATTTCACAAAGTACCAGACCAGATTCTTCAATATCGAACGTTGTTGTTGTCTTCTAAGATCTCTGGTCAAAAGGCATGCAACATTGTCTTCTGTTTACAGAAATTTCAGATAGTTCCTTTATCGAATTCGCATGTTGGAATTTCTTGGCTAACAGAGCCACAATTGCATTCTTCATCAAATCCAAATTACTCATAAGTGTGATTTGCTGGAGAACATCACACATATAAGCATTATATGTATTCAACTTTTCCCTTACTAAGATAACACTTTACCACTATTTGAATACACTCATTGAATTATTTAATTATTAATTTAATTATTAGTACTAGTATATCACAAGAGAAATAATTAATCTTGTCTTTAAAGAGGTAGAATATGATGAAACTCTCTTCAAGAGAGATTGAGAACAATTCATATACACATATGACTCTCCTGAAAAGAAGTCAATTCACGTTAAATTATTCCACCAAAAAATTAAGTATGATGAAATTTTCCTAATAAAAAATCAAATATAAATCATCTGTACGTCAGACCTTTTAAAAAAAACAAAAGAACTCTAACAAATTCCACTAAAAATTTAAATATTTTTACTACTCAAGATTTTACTGATTCAAAATCAGTAGATAAATGGTATCAAACTAAGTTGTGTTTTTAAAATCAAATTGAGTTCATATCAAGACACACTTTTATATTCTAACCGTGATGATCATACTTGTATCCTCATATATCCTTACAGATTTCATATTTGACAGTCTAGACCATCATAGCTTTAATGAATAATGAATAATTCGACATGTTATATAAAGATCATGTTAAACATGTCTTTTACCTGGTAAATGACAAAGAAACCTCAGACCCACCATGAAGAGCTTAGTTGGAAGTTAGCAATAGTGTGGCTCCTACATTATAGAAAGATGGTTACTTTACCATCTTTACAAATTCCACTAAAAATATCTCTCTAACATACCCCATCGAATTAAATAACTTGGACAAACTTATAGTGGAAGGTCAAATTACCAAGTAAAATTATGATAGTTTACAATACCATAAACAGGCCATCGATGATAAGCTTATAGTGGAAGCTCAATTATTGATTTAACATAATCAAAGCATGCCTCATAGTTGCCAAAAGTCACATCAATTCACAATTCATAATTGCTTAAAGGTAAAAAAAAAAGCATGTGCCATATCCTAACTATTTTTGGCCTCATCTATTTCTAAATCCCTCATCAAATCGCAATGTCTTGAGTTTAAAACTTTAGTCACAAAAATTACAGCTGTCTTTAGCTGGTATAAAGAAATTATAGTTTGTTACAAAGCGACCATACAAATTGCATAGCATGATAACAATAGAATGAAGCTAAAGTGCTAAACAGGTAGACATTTCATCTCAGATAATCGTGATTACTGATGTGGCGGCACACTCAAATTGGAAATCCAACACACACTATCATTATCATTTTTCCACCAAACGTGATTACATACTATACGCACCTTCCTTTACCCCTAAATACATCACAAAATGATAGCGAACCATGTCTCTTTCGTTGCTTTCTTTGTTTCCATTATTTAGAAAATTAAACCACTAAAATATTTACTTAAAGGAGATTTGAATGAGATGATAAAGAATTGGAAAAAAAATCATTAAGGGAATTATATTAATTAGTTTTAAAAAAATTAACCGTGGATTATCTCAAAAATAAGTTGTGGCACGAAACACTACTAGCTTTTAAAGCTGTAACTGAAAAGTATATAAAAACCGTTACAGAGCCTGAGCCACTGGCGCGTCGTACCAAACAGCTTTCACTCATTCTCTCTTTCAGTTTCAATCTTGATTTCGGATATGTGCGTTGTACAAACACTGTGTTCACCGTGTGGCGGTGGATTGTTCCAGAACATTGAATGCGGGACGGAGAAGTTACGATTTGTTAAGTTTCACCGTGGATTCAATGCCGTTGGATTAGGTAGTTTTCGTAAAAGCCTGTTGAAACCGATCACGGCGAAGGATGGCCGTGAATCGTCTCTTGCCGGTGACTGTGACGGTGACGGTAACGGTAGCGCTGCTCCTAAGTACAAGGGGATTTCTGTGAATACACGGAACTGCGTCAAAAGTGAACCTGATTCACCTTTCACTCATCACTCTGCTGGTATTACATTGGTTTATTTATGTTTTTATTATTAATCGTATTATTAATTGCTCTTAATTTTTATCTATATCGTGCATTCTACGGAATACTGAATCAAATTTATGCGATGAATCTTGTTATGGATATTCCTGATTCTTGAAATAAACTTGTTTAAGATTCTCTACCTCAAGCGCTAACACCTCTCAAGGTACAGCTGCTTCATAGCCGTTGGATTCATTTCAAATGCAATTTTGAATCTGGATCTAAGCAATATGATTATATTATTTAAAGAGTGATGATTCAAATCTTTAACCCAGCTACCATCTAGCTAGGTAAAAATGTCTGTGACTTGTCGATGAATGGGAATTCGACGAACATTTTGTGGCATGAATGTCCAATCCAGAAGCTTGATAGACAGAAAATACTTCAACAAAAAGGCTGTGTCATTTGGATAACTGGTCTCAGCGGTTCAGGTTCGTGAAATTTTGTTTTCTTTTAGACCGACGATGTTTATGTGTTTGATGTAGTAACAAATGCATTCAGGATTCAATTTGATTTGATTTGAATCTTTTACATTTGATGTTATTTTTAAGGTTAGTGATCCAAGAAAGTGAAAGCAATTGTGTTCAGCTTATTTAGAATAGCCGCATATTGCCTTACCTCTCTTCTTGATAGTATACACCAGCACTATTTCTCCCCATCTCTCAGTCTAATTAATTAGAGTTTTTGACTTTGGTTTAAGGAAAAAGTACAATAGCGTGCGCTTTGAGTCGAAGCTTGCACTCGAGAGGAAAGTTAACTTATATCCTTGACGGTGACAATATTCGACATGGTTTAAACCGTGATCTTAGTTTTAGAGCCGAAGATCGTTCTGAGAACATTCGAAGGATTGGTGAGTTACTTCGCACTTCCCTTAATCTTGCACCTTTTTTGCTATATTATTTATGAGTAGTCTAACATCATGAGTGATGTTTTAGGTGAAGTTGCAAAACTCTTGGCAGATGCAGGAGTTATTTGCATCACCAGTTTAATATCACCATACCAAAAGGACCGAGATGCTTGCAGGGCTCTACTACCCAAAGGAGATTTTATTGAGGTATATTCTTTATGAGGTGAACCAAATCATGCAGGTAGTTTGGCATCTGCTGAATGCTGACAATAGTGAACACTATGATTATTGAACAAGGCAAGATGTTCTTCATTGCCTATGCTGCCTTACATCTCTCAACTCATACATGTTGTAGGTTTTCTTAGATGTGCCTCTGGCTGTGTGTGAAGAAAGGGACCCAAAGGGACTATACAAGCTTGCTCGAGCTGGACTGATTAAAGGTATCTTAATTTAGATTTTTTTATTTGTGTGGCGTCTTTCAGTGTTATGTTTAACAAATTAACTTTTTGCTCGGTTGTTATTTATCTATTTTAGCTTCAGCAGCTATATAAAATTGGGCTTGTTTATATTTTTAGTGCACATTGATTTGTGCATCAGTATTGAATTATCTATTTGGAAATTTGTAGGTTTCACAGGGATAGATGATCCATACGAACCCCCGTCTAGTTGTGAGGTGTGTATTTTCTACCCCAACTTTGAAATGAAAACTTGACCTTATAAATGACATGTAGAGTAATCCAACTCTGCTTTTCCTTTGATGAAACCTCTGCTGAAATTTTATAAATTGATTACACTTATACATACTCTTGCAGATAGTATTGCAGCAGATAAAAGGAAGTGAATGTATGTCTCCAAATAATGCCGCCGAAAAAGTAATATCTTACTTGGAGAAAAATGGGTACCTGAGGGCCTGACTATGCTGGAATGGCTTATTTCTTGTTTTTATAGGTATGTTGTATGTAACACATTCTGGGGCACATAAAAAACTGTTTCTCCAAGTAGCAAGGAAATCATTGTTCACTATGCATCTAATTCCATCCAAGGCACATGCATCATACCGTATTTATGTTTTCATTATATAGGCATCAGTAAGCGGAGTGGTGGATCAGTGAGGAAGGAGTTGGTCTTGATTGGTAATATGGTGTAACAAAAATAAAACAAGAATTATGTGTATATTATCCTTATCTTTTGGCAAACAAACAAATGTCTGTTGTGGAATGTGCAGTGCCAGTGCCGGTGAAAATTTGGTTTTTATCCAATGTAACAAATTTGGTTTTTATCCAATGCAACATCTATCGTCAACTAGTCACCAGAAAAACTAGATTGGAGTCATGTTGTTTAACATTTCTTCTTTAATACGCGAAGCTGATGTGCTTATATACCTAAACTAGTTAAAAAACTAAGTTAATTAGTAAGAATTTAAACTAATTTAAACTTAAACACTATGACTTTTGATTTTACTTAACATCTAGTATTAAATTAATAGCAGCAGTGTCAGAGCTAAAGTTATGCGTATAGATGATATAGTCATTACACGTTGCCAATAATAAATGTTCACATTTGATAGAATGTATTTCTCACATTATTCATTTAATCTCTCTTAAGATTTATAAAATCATAACCATATATATATATATATATATATATATATATATATAGCAAAGAATGCATAGTGGATGGTGTCAGAGTTAGTTATAGTTATGCGTGTATGGTGATCCACTTATATTAACATTGATTAATGCATATGTAAAGTTAGGTAACTAGTTGCCTAAGCTAGCTTCCTAATAACATTTCATGTTAGATTGTGTGCTATAATTCTCCCAAATGTACCAGCCCAATCTTTGACAAGAGTAATCATGTTTTTCTTCTAAGCTTCCATGCAATGCTTGTTGCAGGTTTTTCTCATAGCCTTTCAGTTCCTATTACTTTGTTGATTAACACCAATGTAGAAATAGTCAAAACAAGAAAAATTTTAACACAAGCCATAATAGAAAAATAAGGGAACGACTTATATTTTATTATAACATGATTCATTCATTTATTAGTATATAAGACACTATAAATTGTCATATGTTTAGTGTAACAATTATCAAGCAACATTGTAACAACAACACACACACACACACACACATATATATATATATATATATATATATATATATATATATATATATATATATATATATATATATATATATATATATATATATATATATATATATATATATATATATATATATATATACACACAACACACACACACACACACACACATATATATATATATATATATATATATATATATATATATATATATATATATATATATATATTAGAGTGGTAAAACTTTATTATTTTTGGATTATCGAAGATAATGGCTTCTACTAGTGGAACCGTCAAAGTTGGTAAATATGAAATTGAGAAGTTCAATGGAAAAATGATTTTTCCTATTAGAGGATGCAGATGAAAAATCTGTTTATTTCACAAAAGTTGCACAAAGCATTAGCGGGAAAAGAAAAGAAACCGGAGAGTATGAAGGATGAAGATTGGGAGGAGTTAGATCTTGAAGCAAGGGCGGCCATAATCTTATGCCTTGAGAGGGATGTTGCATTCTTGGTTAATGAAGAAGCAACGACTGTTGGCGTGTGGTCAAAGTTAGAGAGTAATTTCATGACGAAAACTCTAACAAATCGGATCTACTTAAAGTCCAAATTGTATACTTGCAAGATGGAGGAAGGCACCTCAATCCGGGAGTATGTCAACAAGTTTGATAGGATTATATCAGACTTAAAGGATGTAGAAGTGAAGATTGATGAAGAAGACCAAGCATTATTGTTACTGCTTTCATTACCAGAGTCCTATGAAAATCTAGTCCAAACATTGATGCTTGTGAGTGATACTCTAACCATGGATGAAACTAGAACATCACTTTTGGCAGACGATCTTCGTAAGGTTGCTACAAGTGGGATGCCTAGTAGCAGTGGAAGAGAACAAGCTCAGGGATTATTTGTTACTAGAGGGAGGACAAATGAAAGAGGACAAGGCAGGGGAAGGAAGTCTAGATCAAAATCTAGAGCTCCTGTGGATAAGGCGTGCTTTAAATGTTGTGAGCTTGGGCACTTTAAAGCAAATTGTCCAAATAGGAGGGTATTATTTAAGAAGTACACCAATAACGAAAACTACTCCAGAGGTAAACAAGATCTGCAGGAGGCGAGTTATGTCTTTAATGGCGAGGATGGTTGCTTCTCAGTTTCAAACCAAGACCATGATATCTTCGAGAGATGAATGCTTGATTCAGGAGCTTCACACCATATGTGCCCAAATAGGAAGTGGTTTACTACCTACCAAAGCACAGATGGTGGTACAGTTTTAATGGGAACTAACCATGCCTGTAAAATTATGGGGTATGGTTCAATACGAATCAAGATGCATGATGGAGCGGTAAGGACTCTAATGAACGTGAGACATTTCCCTAATTTTCGGAAAAACCTTATTTCTCTTGGTGTATTAGAGGAAAATGGTTGCAAAATAATCTTGGAAAATGGAGGCTTAAAGGTTGTTCGTGGTTCTTTGGTTGTGATAAAGGGGGTTCGTTACAGGAATCTGTATCCTCTTATTGGGGAAACTGTCACAGGTGATTTGACAGTTGGAATCAGTGGAAGTAAAGATCAAACTGAATGTACCAGGATGTAGCATATGCGCCTTGGGCATATGTCTGAAAAGGGTCTATCACTGCTTGGTGAGAAAGGTTTGCTGAAAAACATGGAAAAGCCATGCATGGAATTTTGTGAACATTGTGTGTATGGCAAAGCACATAGGTTGTGGTTTTCTACAAGCAAGCATAAAAGCAGGGGGATGTTAGACTACGTGCATACTGACGTTTAGAGTCCGGCTCCGGTTACTTCTAAGGGTGGTTCCATGTACTTTGTTACATACGTTGATGATCATTCGAGGTATGCTTGGATTTATTTCCTTAAGCATAAGAATGAGGTATTTGATACTTTCAAGTGTTGGAAAGCAATGGTTGAGAACAGAACGGGTAGAAAGCTGAAAACTCTGTGATTGGATAATGATACAGAGTATACGGATGAAGCTTTCAAGAGGTTCTGTGATCAGGAAGGCATTGTTAGACACTGGACGGTAAGAGGCACACCGCAACAGAATGGAGTCGCGGAAAGACTGAACTGTACACTTCTTGAGAAAGCAAGGTGTATGCGCTCTAATTCTGGGTTAGGTCGAGAATTGAGGGCAGAGTCGGTAGCTATAACTTGTTATGTTGTAAACAGATCCCCACATTCTAATTTAGGTGGAGACACACCCTATAGGGTGTGATCAGGTGAGCATACTGATTATGAAAGACTAAAAATATTCGGATGCACGACTTATTATCACGTCAAGGAAAACAAACTTGATAATATAGCCAAGAAAGCTATCTTTCTAGGATATGCAACAGGGGTCAAAGGCTACCGCCTTTGGAGTGTAGAAGATTCTAAGTTTTTGATTAGCAGGGATGTTACCTTTGATGAAAAATCTATGGTGCCTAGAGATGGGGATGTTACGATATCAAATAAGCAAGTTATTGATATAGAATCTGAAGACCAACCAGATTCCAGTCGTGGTCAGGTGGAGAATCCTATTGCCAGTGAAGACGAGCAAGAGGATGAACATGATTATGGGGAGGTTCAGCAGGAAAATACACATGTATTACAACAACAACAGCATAAATCTTTGGATACCACTAGGCCAAAGAGAAATTATAAAACAGTTCAGTAGTTTGGGTCAGACAAACCTCTGAGGCATTATGGGCAGGTTAACTTGGTTGAATATGCACTCTCGGTTGAAGATGATGAGTCGGTCACCTTCAAGCAAGCTATCAAAGACAAAGATAAAGAGAGTTGGTTGGTTGCTATGGAGGAAGAGATGCAATCTCTTCATAAGAACAAGACATTGGAGGTGGTCCCATTGCCTGTAGGAAAGTATGCTATTGGTTGTAAATGGGTGTATAAAAGAAAAGAAAATCATACTAAGTCATGCGGTACAAGATATAAGGCTAGGCTAGTGGCCAAGGGGTTTGCACAAAAGGAAGGAGTTGATTACAATGAGATATTTTCTCCGGTGGTGAAACATACTTCTATCCGGGTGCTATTAAGTTTAGTAGCTCACGGTGATCTTGAGTTGGAACAACTAGATGTGAAGACAACTTTCTTGCATGCAGACTTATAAGAGGAAATATATATGTATCAACTTGAGGGTTACAAGGTTTAGGGTAAAGAGAGTCAAGTATGTCGTTTGAGAAAATCACTTTATGGATTGAAACAATCTTCGAGACAGTGGTACAAGCGATTTGATTCTTTTATGATAAAACAAGGTTTCTCTAAAAGCATCTATGACAGCTGTATCTATATTCAGAAGCTTCATGGAGGTGATTCTATCTATCTATTATTGTATGTCGATGACATGCTTATTGCTTCAAAAAGCAAGGTGGAGATAGATAAGTTGAAGTCTAAACTTGGTAAAGAGTTTGAGACGAAGAACTTGGGTGCTGCAAATAAAATACTGGCTATGGAGATTAGAAGAGAGCGGACAAACCAGAAACTATTCTGGAGTCAAAAGGGCTATTTAGAGCGGGTTGTTGAAAGGTTTGGAATGAAAGGTGCTAAGTCGGTGGTTACTCCATTAGCTCCACATTTTAGGCTTTCTGGTAATCAATATTCCACTACAGCAGAAGATAAGGCATACATGGAAAATGTACCTTATGCTAGTGCAGTTGGCAGTTTGATGTACGCTATGGTGTGTACACGTCCATATATTTCACAAGCGGTAAGTGTTGTCAGTAGGTTCATGGCAAATTCGAGAAAGGCACACTGGGAAGCGGTGAAGTGGATTTTGAGGTACTTAAAGGGTACCATTAACA